AGCATTTCTCCAGCAAAACTAGACCACCGACACTAATTGTAAATACACACATTATGTCAGCTTCTAAAAGCCGAGTAGGGAAAGTTCCTCCAATTCTCTCACCGCTTTCTAAACCTCTGTAGAGCTATGGCAATTTTTATCAGCAGGGCATCTGCTGTATACAATTGCATTTCCTGAGAAGCACTGCTCTCGAGGTGCCAAACAACAGTCCGGGGACCATTAGTGGTTGCCAGAGTGAGTGCTGGAAATCCCCCGAGAGCCGTCTGACCTGCTGGGGCTCCCTGCCTCACGTTCAGCTCTTACAGCAGTGGCTTTGCTAGGTATTTATGCACATAAATTCTCACTGTTAGCGTGTGGGACTGATAAAAGCAAGGAAGGTTGTCTGTGAAAGAGCTGACCTAGCTACCGGTGTTGGCCCAGAAGGTAATTTAGAGCTGAAAAAGCTCTGAAAGAATAGCACGACATTAACTGTAGTACCCTTTTTGTAGAGACTAGCTTTCAGAGAGAATGCTTTTAACTGAGGGCAAATTACTACCACCTACATGTGGCAATTTCAGGTATATTCGCTTCCTTGTTTTTCTCATTCCTCCCATCTGTTTCCTCAAGTACATATGAATTTCTTTTCTCCCACTTCCCCTTTCCCTCCCTCCCACTATTCCTTGCAGATTTCCTTGCCCCGTGCCAGGTCATAGTCAGTCTGCAGACACTCTCCTCTTCAATGGACAGACTCCAGCGGGAATTCAGAATAAGAAAGGAAATTAATTAGAAGTTTCACTCAGCCAGAAAGTGTTTGAGTGTACAGCAGCCAGAAGCGACTCACTGTTTTGACTGGTTATCAAAACATGTAAATCAGTGTACCTGTTTATTCAGTGTCTCCTTATGCCACGTCTGTTCCATACCTCCAGGGATGCTATACAGTAAATATTTGTTAAATATTCATTATTTTTAGAAAATTGGATCTTTCTCAAAAATTTCTGGACTACCACTTTAACTATTGGATTAAGTACTGCTTACAGATTTTAGAGTTGGTAATCTTAGCAAGCTCCTTTCCTCCTCATTATTATGAAAATCTAACAGATCAGTTTTGCATATCATTTAACATAACATTTTATTTATTCATTTTTACATTTGGGAAACTTGCTCTATGAGATGCTGAAAGAAAAACATGTAGCAAGGAAGTGTAGTAAATTTAATTATTCTGCTGCACCAGACTACACTCCAAATGCACAGCAGGATTCTCACAAACAGAAAGGAAAACAGAAGCTTTTCTGTGCAAAACATTAGAATCTAACACTGAAGAGGCACAGTGAGCGTCTCCCACTATTCCAGTCTACTGTGCAAAGGCACGTAGGGCACCACTAATGTTGTATACTTCACATTTGCTAGTAGCCATGGTTAATAATTGTGCTGGTAGCTATAGTTACCGCACATATGGAGGCAATTGCAAGGCTCTGAAGATTGGTTGAGAGAAACTTTGAATAGTGGTCGAGATGACCTTGATTAGTGATAAGGAATTAATGAAGGATAGACTTTGATCTCCAAACCCTAGAAAATAGGTAGAACATCTTGGATCATAATATCTGGGATTGACTGTGCTAAGGATGAGTTATTTGACAACCTGGCAAAGCAACTATTTGATTAAGTAACTTGGCAATGAAACTAAATTTTAAAGTGTCCTGAAGTGAACTACCTTCATGATAATACTGAAAAACACACCCACAGGTCAAAAAGACCCCTGCCCAGGTCAAGACCCTTCCCTGGAGCATGCGTAGCAGTATTGTGTAAGCAGTATTATAATTGTGTGTTAATCACTAACCAATCAGTATCTAGCAGACATGTTTGGAAAAGTACTAACCTCTGATTTTTGTGTGTAAAAGAAGCACCAAACCCTGGTATTGGTGTGCTTGATTTGTGGAAAAGTTCACCGAGCACCCAGGCCTGAATAAATACAATCTCTCCTGAGTGTGTTAAAATTGGCTCATTGCACACTAGGCACGAATCCACTTTCTGGGTAACACCATCACCCATGAGAGTGCTGGACAATTATGTGGTTGGAGATGGGATTAGCAGTGGTAACCATGCCTCTCACTCTCAGTCCCTTGACTGTAGCATTCCAACAGCCCACTTCTAAGTGTGTGCTTTGGGTTTGTGTGGTGGGGTTTTTGGTAGTGGGGGAAGGGGCTATAGTGATGGCCCCTGTGAAAAGCCTCTCGAAAGCTCCCCCAGCTCCAAGTCAGACCCACCCATGGCCCAGTCTGAGCCAATCAGCAACAGTGGCTGCACCTCTGCTTTAATGTATTTAAGAAGAGGAACCTGAGAGGGCGTGGGGACTTGTGAGGAGGAGTTATGAGAAGGACACCTATGTGAACACCAGAGTCAGCGGAAGGAAGGAGGAGAAGGGGAGGAGGCACACTGGAGCAGAGACCCCTGTATCCCATGGTGAGACAGCAGGGCTGCCCCCCTGCCACCCATGGAGGTCCATGGTGGAGCAGAGGCCGACCTGAAGCCTGTGGAGGAGCCCACGCCAGGACAGGCGTCTGTGCTTAAAGGAGGCCGGGACTCTGAGGGGAGAAGCAGCCCCCGCTGTTGTGGTTCGGCGCTGGGAGGGCTGCAACACGCGGGGGGGACCCACGCCGGAGCAGCTCGGGAACGGCTGCGGCCCGTGGGGAGGCCTCACTGTGGAGAAGGTTCATGGAGGGCTGTCTGCAGGGAGAGGGGAGCCCCGGGGAGCAGGGGAGGGATGGGCAGCGTTCACCCCCCCTCCTGAGCAGGAAGGAGCGGCGAGCTGGCTGTAACCCCCATCCCCTGCCCCTGCGCCGCTGGGGGAGGAGGGGGAGAGATGGGGAGCAGAGCTGAGCCTGGGAAGAAGGGAGGGGTGGGGGGATGTGGTTTTGGATGTGGTGGCGCCTCTCACTGTCCCACCTTGTCTGTTAGGTGTTGTCTTTGTTAGTGTTTGAATGAAAGTGATGTTCTTTTTTTACTTCCCCTAAGGAGTCTGTCTTTTGCTCGTGCCCTCCCTGTCCTTATCTAGATTTCTGAGCCTTTTTGCTTCATTTTCTCCTCCTCACTGCTGGGAGGGAAGGGGTGAATGAACAGCTGCGTGGTGCTCAGTTGCCCTCTGGGCTCAAACCATGACAGTGTGTGTGCACGGTCCTGAACTTACCCTGTGATTTGACCAGAAGGTGATTAGCTCTGAGAGGATTTTTTCAGCCATCTATATTGACAAATTATAAAAGTATTGTGTCTCATACACTGTGCACGAGGCAAAGAGTGACAGTGTGCTAGAAGGGCTGAGCTGTTAACTGCTGTTAACAGATTGGAGCTGGCCAGTGAACTGCTACAACAAATTATTAATTTGGGGAGTTCACAGAAATAACTGTGAAAGCAAATTTATTATTACACCTTTTTAAATTGATACTTGAAACTCTCTGTGTCCTCTCGAAGTAGGTAACACTGTCAACTTGGCCTTAGAACATGACTCGTTCCATTACACAGACTGATGATAAAACTGGTTGTCTCAGCTAAAGCCTCAGTTTCATTCAATACCTTAACAGTACAATTCCTGAAAAAACTACCTTCATGAGATACCCAATGATTACACTGCATGAAATCCTTACAGATTTTTTCAGAGCCTTTGGGCTCAATTAGCTTTGATGTTCATCAGGTGAACACCCCTTTCCACTCCTCTGCAGGAGAGGGAGCATGGTTTTATCCTTCGGCCACTCAGATCCACCAGCACGTCCCTGCAACATTGTTTCTGCCAACCAGGACACTTCACACACAAGCAGAAGGGAATAAAGCAGCAAATCGGTTGTGGACCATGTGGAAATAGTATCATACAGCTGAGAAGTTACAAACATTAGGAGAATAGCATTTTGTTATCTGCTTCTGAATGTAAGAAACATCATGAATTTTGTGCTTTCAACTTAAAGGAGTAGGACAATAATAGGAACATGACTATTACAGATATAAATGAACTGTATCACCGCAGCCTAAATGCCTCACAGGAAGAGTGGGATACTCTGGATGGATCACAATGGGAGTGGACATACGTTGTTGGCAGTGTTTTCCAAGTTCGCTCTTCTTCCTCAAGTTGCCTGGTCTGTCTAAATGATTTCTGCAGACACACTGAAGTCTTTTACTGGATTGCAAAGCATGGGATTTGGGATATCAATACTTAGCCATATAACGGGAATTTGACCATTCTTTGAAGAACTGACTGGAATACCTTTTCAAATGTGAAGACAAACTTCAAATCTAGGCAAACTTCAAACAAACAGACAAATCCTGCCTAATGCAGGCTTCCAAAAAAGTATTCACAGATACTTTAACAGTGTGATCCCATGACTATTTAAGCTGACTCCAAATGGCACAGCTACAGTGAACTTGTCTGATGTTTTATTGAGCCAGCACCAAGACCTCAACCACCCAAAAGCTAGCCCAAAGAATAGTTTTGTGCAGGTTCATCTCCAGGAAATGGACCATCGTGAGATGAGCTGAGTGACAAGAGCACTAAGAAGTAGGGTACAGGAATAGATGTCTAGAATGTGACAGCAGCACCAAGAACAGTTTTAAATCCATCAAGGAATCAAAGCCAAAATGAGCTGAGCCAAACAGACAGAAACCTGAGCTGCTGCTCTGCTCCCAGAGTAACAAAGACTCTACTAGAAGATATTCTGACCAAGGAATTTTGCTTCTGTGTCCAGGAGATTAAAAAATGCTAGCTAGTTATAACAAATATAATTGTGTAGATGGTTTACATTTTCTTCCAAGACTAAGTCTTAATTTCAAAGCAGGTAAAGATCCCTCTGATACATAAACAAAACAGAAATTCTGATTTCTTAGCCTGGCATCATTCGGGAGAAGCCAGGTCTACTCCAGCCAAAGCCCTACATAAAATTCACATGGAAAACCACCTTCCCAAAGTTCCTGCAAAAATAAAAAAATTGGGTTTTTTTCCCCAAGGATCATGCCCTAAAGAAATCACTGCAGTAGCATCATTCAGTCTCAGTCAAGAGTGTTTAATGGCAATCCTCAAAAAGAGCAATATAAAAATGAGGAGGATCTACATATGCCAAAAATGAAGATTTTTCACTAAAATAGTTTGTCTTATAAACCATCTCAGGCATGGTGAATACAAAGACCTGAAGATAAACAGAAAACCCACTCTGAACTGCATTCTTGTAATTTGGGGGTCGATTTAGGGGTATACCAAGGATTAACTCTCAGAAAGCAATCAATGACCAAATAATCTGAGTTCAGAAACAGATGTGTACAAAGAAACCTGTTCAAATAAGGAAAACATGCAGCACATACAAATCTCTGGAAGCATCCAGTCAGTTCCTGTGAAGACCAACCATAATCAAATTGAACACAGACTTCTAAGTACATGGACTACAAATACCTTCCCTTCCCTGCATATTGTATAGCCTAGGGTGTTGGAGGCAGATGTGCACATGAAATGAAATTCCTATTCCTCATCAATTTTGAACAAGTATCAGAAATAAAATTTTGTCATGTAGCTGTCATTTTTGCCATCATATCAGCTGATAACTTTGGAGCAGCACCTGTGCCCGCTGCCTCACTGGCCACCCTCTGCCATGCCTGCATCGACTGAACTTTAGGTCCTTATTTACACAGGTCCTTGAATAAGTCATAGGAACTGTGTATTCCTTTAAATTTTAAGAGAACAACAGTGCTTGAATGGCATAGGGACTGCTAAAGGAAATCAAAATGAGACTTCCACCACCCCAGGAGACTGCTGCAGGGACTACTGTATACATCTAGTGTAAAAATATGAATTCCAGTTAAGAAAATACTTCTCTTTCAGACTGTGCTGTCATGTCAACAGATGTCAGATACTGCTTAAATTGAGTCGATTTTGAGGTCTACTGCATCAGATATTAAGGTCTCTCTCATTCAATTTAAAAATCAGAATTAACATAGTTAATTTTCTTCTCTCACCACTGTGGGGACATCTTGTGATTGCTGCCAACTGATATAAAACCTACTCCTTTCTACTACCTTGATCTCTCCCTGTCTGACTTTTTCTGATTTACACACAGGCTGGATGTGCACTAGACATGTTCACAGTAATTACTGTAATGGGTGCCCTGTCTGGGGACTCTGAACTTCACCAGACACAAACAATGTATCCACAAGCACCAAGTGTAATGCTCCATTGCGAGTTAGTATTTCTCTGAAATGTTAATCTCATGTTTACTTCCCAATATAATTCCCACATCTAATTAATACTTGACTAATATACATGCTATAACCAAGAACGTTCTTTGAGGCTACCTTCATCATTCTTTCTCAATTGGAATTAAAAAATAATTGCAATATATTTAAGAGACAGTAGAGGGAAGCCAAGATGTCTCAACAACCCTTTCTAATAATACAGCTTGCAGTCCTAAACTCAAAGTTAAAACCAAAAAAATCCTTACCCTGGTGTAGAAAATACCAGTTACACTTACTATATATAAAGATGCCAAACAACTTATTAATTTACAGCATGGGTTTGCTGTTTCTTTTTCACTGGCACACTGTATGCTGTTAGGCTCTGGGCTGTTCCCTCTAGGTTTTCCCTTGGTGATGCTGTGAGCCTGGGAGCTTTCACAGTTGTAACACTTGACAGTAATTTCATGAAGCATTCAGACAGTATGATAACTTGCTAATATACACTGTAAATATGGGTGGTGAACATGTTGGTGTTTTCTTCCCTATTTGCTGTTTGTTACACAGTTGCTCTGGTAATTTCTACTCTGGACATAATTCTTTTTGTTATTTTTTTCAGCAGCCATCACACGGACAAGGTTTACAAAAAGGACTCACTTTCATGCAGAGTACACAGGTAAGTCAGATGCAAATATGGTCAGAACAACCGGTTTACATTCCTGCTCTGAGCTCCAGTGATCAGGCACAGGGCTTCTTTAGGGTACACCAAAAAGCTCTGGTCGTGTGATTGACGCCCCCTTAAGTTCTCCTTTCCCCTCTCCCAACTTCTTACTCTGCCACCCATATTTTCTGCCAAACAAGCAGCTGTTTACCCTTTTGACACTGTCCCCAGTCTTGCTGATTTGATATCCTCATTTGGTTTTTATGATATGCGTGCCCTGGTACCTTCTACCCTGGCCATCAATTCTGTTAAATTAGTACCGCCTTATTTTGCCCATAGGGTGCTGCTGCTTCTCATCCTGCTCTTTTTAGATGTGACGCGAATCATGGTTAACGACTGGCACATATACCTTGACATATCTGTTTATCTTCACTCCCCAGCAAGAGGGGTAACAAAACAAAAACAAAAAAAATACAATATACAAAATAAGCTGATGGTAACACAATGCCAAAAATAGCTTATTATGTTAAGTGCAAGGGAGAAAAGCCTTGATATAAAGCTTGACTGCAACATTTCAATTTACCAGTTTAAATACAAGACTTGCATTAAAATATTTCTTGAGATACATCTCTTGCTCTCTAAGGTGACTTTTTAAAAATTTATATACACGTATCCAGTTGTAACACTTGACAGTAGTCTCGTGAAGCATTCAAAGAGTATAACTTGGTAAGTACACACTGTAGATATGAGTGGTTAATGTCTGTACGATTTTTTCCTTCAGTTTTTATAACATTATGTTGAGTACTAGCCTCAGACAGGTGACCAGCCACCTGATACAGTATAATACCCCCAAGCCCTTCCCCAAAGTCCCACAGTCTATGTTTCCAATGCTCACTGAATCCAGATGGTGTTGCCTCTTTCTGGTCTGCGAGACTCCACTGTCAGTTCTCCAAAAGTGGAGAAAAACTGCTCCATTTCCTTCTGCAACATATCATTCCTCTTCTCTGCATCTTCCTTGGCCCGTTCTGCATTACGCATTTTGATTTCTACCATTGTGAACTTCTTTCGCTCTTGATCCAGTTCTTCATGCAGAGCCATCATTTCTGTCTCCAGGGTGAGATTTCTCTGCTCCAAGCTGCAAAAATTCAAAAAAAAAGCAGACAGCTCCTGAGCAGCACTCCTCACTCACTCAAGCAAAAATGCATACCACCACCAAATTCATACATGTATCTTGTAATTTACAAAGCTGACTGAATTTTGAGAGGTGTGTTGACAAACCACAGCTTCATCAATGAACCATTCTCATACAGCAATCTCTTCTGTAGCTCATTTAGAAAATGCCTAATAACAGCCACTGGCAAGGTGCACAGTAGCAAACAGCTCCATCTAATTCTCCAGGAATAAGCTAAGCCTTCCTTTTACTTCTTGAAGGGTTGACACTCAGCTCCTGCTGTAGTTGCACCCCTGCCATTTACAAGGTCAGAGTAACACCTTGAACGCTTTTGTTTCACTGCTAATCTCCTCTCTTCAGCTGATTTATCTGCTGTATCTATTTGCAAATATGGATCAACAATTACAAAAAACCTGCAATCAACACGACTGTCTAAAAAACGGACCCTATTTCAGATCTAGCTTTCCAATGGAAAGTATTAGAAATCCTAGTGGTACAGTCATCAGGCATATTAAGCATTGTAAGAAGTGTTCTACTACACTGCATACTACACTGACAATAGTGATATGGGCCAAAGACTGCAATATTCTGTACGCTGCACTTTCGCTGGCAGCTGCTGTTGCCAATAGCTCTCACGTATCACGATCCAGCTATGACCGGCAGTGCCAGAGGTACCAGTGCAAAGGGCTGCTGTACGACACAGGTGGGAACAGAGGACAAGTCCTGAACAGCTTTACTGAAGAACCTTTATTACAAGAACCTTTACTCAGCCCCGCACTGCTGTGTGCACTAGTTAATGCTAAGCTCAGCCTCTGAGGTTATTCACGGATCGTTACGGCCACCCACCTTAGCAACCTCTTTGCGCGTGAGAAGAGTCCGCGCTATCTGCAGACAAAGACACGGCTCTCCCTTGCCTTCTTTAACAGGTCTAGGCTGCGAAGGAAAGGCTCAAGCAAAGCAGCAGTCTGGACATAGGACTGTGAGCAGAGGTAGCTCCCAAATGCAGCACTGTCTCAAGAGGAATGAGGACGCTGGAAAGGAGTTCCAGCAGTCTCCCAGTCCCCAAAACTACAGGTGGAATAAGCCACGGCACTGCTTTTACTGAAAGGTGATGTGCAGTTGCCTTTCTCAGTCTCCAGAGAACGGGCATCAACTAATGAAAACGTTGTGAAAGCCTATTGATTTTGTTAATTTGATTCTACAGAAACTCACAAGGTTCTGGCTTTATTTTGTGCTGCCAGTAGGATAGCGTGTCACAACCATGGCAAGGAACTGTTCTGAAGCAAACCCTTCGGATCATGATATCACGAAAGCAATGTCAGAATCTGTCAACACTGAGAGATGGGCAGCTCTGTGGCGAGCACCCAGTGACTGCAGCTAGTGCGGATTGCTAGCAAGTCACGAGAGGGAAAACTTCTTGGATTTACTCTGCAAAATGCAGTCACACGGCAGAGTCAAACAGTCTTACCTTTTAATCCTTGTTTCATACTCTAGTTTTTGCTTGGCCATCTCTTGCTTCAAGCTGGACACCAGGCTGTGCAAAGCGCTGTGATTGTTAGTACTGCTGGTGACAAACGTTTCACTGTTATCGCTGCTGCTGGTGGCTCGGCTGCTGTGGCCTCCCACACTCCTTCTGTCACTTTTGTTCTCATAGTCACCTGGGTTAGAGAGGTCTTCGTGTGGTGGTCCATCCAGCACAGAGTCTTCAAAGTTACCCACATAAAAGTCCTGCTCAGGGCAGGTGGTGGTGGATGAACGACAGGAGTTGGAGTGCTCAGGGAGGGATATTTCACAAGAAGACGTTGACCAGGTGGCACTGTCCACGCTCTGTTTGTCATCAGAGTTCACCATAGAGAACTGCTGGTGGACATTGTCGTAGGTGGAAAGCCTGTTGTGCTGGCCTGACTCACTCACCGATTCCTTCTGCTTGTTGTCCCTCAGCGTGACGTAGCCATTGGGCACGCAGCCCGGGCTCCGGCTGTTGAGAGTGTTGCTGTGCCCGTCTGTGCTGGAAACACCCATCCGCACACCTCCGTTCTGCACACTGTGTGTGCCCATCTTTGTCACCGGTCCTTTCAGGGATGACGTTCTCCGGGTTTGCAGGGTACAGTTTGGTAAGGTCTGGCTCTTCTCAGGGCCTTCTACAGAGCTGCTGAAGGACCCGTTAGTGACTATGCCACTGCCTTTATTAAAAGCAGGATTTTTTTTCACCATGAGTGGTGGGCTTCTGGTGACATCCACCTTCTGGATGCTGTTCCTGGGGCTATTTGTCTTGCTGCCTGGCACAGCAGTTGGAGGTTCATTGTCCATGCTTCCCCTCTGGGGAGACTCCGGTTTGTCCCAGGAACAGCGCCTCACTGCCGTCTCCTTGGTGGTGGCGGTCTCTTTGTTCTGTAGCTGCCCTGCAGTTGCTTTCTTTGGCATTTCATTGTTGTTGTTCCATACCTCCGGTCCCATCTGAGGATCTGCATCCTTGGGAAACAGCTCTTCATGTTTGCTAATCATCACTGACATTAGCTGCTGGACTACTACTGTACCTGAAAGGAGACACCAAGCGCACAGTCATTAATGGCTTGTTTTGTTTAGGGCATAAATATACTTTATCCATCAGATTCCACAGATACTTAGTAAATATTCAGCGTATACAAACATTTACACAATGCATTCATCTGTGCAACACCCTGAACGTTTAACACACCCGAAGTGCCTCTGGCTACCTGGCCAGATCAGCACCACCTCTTCCTTCCATTACACCAAGACAGCAGGCCTCACAGACCCCCTAAGAACAGGAAGTTTTGTGAAGAAGTTATGACCATGACAGTAACTGCATCCCAGTAAGACCATAGAAGGAGATAATGAGTAACAAAGGATAACATCCTTGTAAGTGATGTGTTTCAACTCAATGCGGTGATCGTTTTTAAAACCAAAGCCTTATTCTGGCACAGCATTTGTATTGAGTAGTCTGGCAGAAAATGGGCAGGCAAGGGATCTGCATTGATGGGACACAGACATTTTAGTCTTTTGGAGCAAAGTAGGGCAGTAATATGACATAATTAATTTAATGTGAATGCCTTTAACCACTCTGTGGTGAGACTATATGCAACCAGGAAACTATGCCCCATTACAGCACAGTACAGAACTAGTGCAGGACCACAGCTTGCTACTTGCTGTAAGAATGTCTCCCTTTCCTCTTAAAAAACAACCCCTTGGTGTGTGTACCACTTGACTGCACTGTAATTTAGACACTAGCATCTATAACTGGACATTTGAGACAAGTATGTACGGGAACCAAGGGGGAAGCCACAACTGCAGATTTAAGGGTATTTAAAGCTGCACAGGTTTGACGATACTCATGCAGTGTCATAATAAACATGCATGTAAATTGGACACCTGGTCTTGCAAACCCTTTCGAGTCAAGTGCATGATCAAACCCTTGTCTGTGACAAGGAGAATCCAGACATTAATGCGAAGATGATCATTAAAAACGCTTTCCATGTTAGGAGGTTTCCTGGCTTGTCTGAGGTACTGTTCAGATAGCTAACCCTGGGTAGTCACTGCTTTCATATATGATTTGGAAACACCACGTTTCTGTCCACAAGAACATAGTTACTGTGTTAAGACACATAAGACTTCAGAAAAACACATAAATGAACAATGTATATGGAGAATTGTTGTATCTGGGGAAGAGAAAAAGCATCAAACTCACAGAAAAAGATGAAATCCACACGCTCTCAAATAAGCTATGAACACTGCATTTTTGAGTTTTGGTAAAATTTTTAGTGCAGAGTCTGTGTACAGGCCTAATTTCTGAGAAAGTTAAGTAAATCCTACATATTAAGAAAAAAAGTGTTTGGAGGGAGAAAAGGCATCATGTACTTTATGGAGAATTAAAGTCACAGGGATTAAGTGTAGGAGAAAATTATAGGAGGAGATTGTCATGGCCATATTTTTGTCTTAATCACAGCAAAATGCTACAGCTGAACACTGCTGTGAATAACAGAATGCAGCTGGCAATTTGATATTACAAGCAGGCATGTAATACACCACTGCCTTGTGGGGGATTCTAAATGGGTCACTGCAGTATGAACCTGTACTAACTTTTTCTCATCCTTAAGAACCGCAGGTAAAATATTAACTTCACTCCAACCACACATGCTGAATAAGAACATGCCATATTTGCAGCAACTTTTGAGAGAAAAAGTGCATTTTTAGTGAAGTTGCCGGGGCAGCACAATCTCATGCAAAGTCTATTTGCAATGCTGCACATTTCAGTCACTTTTATAGTAACCTGCAAGTTTTAACCCAGAAGTTCATTCAGGTTGAGGAATTCTGTGTCTGTAAAACAGATATATGGAACTTACTGCAAATACTACATGGACTGGTAGGTACTATTAATAAACCTTCTTTCTACTGCAAGATATGTATGGTAAGCTCACCCTCCATGATAGTCAGAGGGTCTTCCACTTTGGGGCGAAGGATGTTGGGGCCAAAAACGGTTGCCAGATTTTGCACACTCATTTTGTTTATGCCTGAGTAAGACTGGACTTCATCAAGGAATCTGTGGGGAAGAAAGAGGTGTTTCAGGAACATGTAAAAATAGAATTAAAAAAAAAAAAAACTCAATACATCTGATGGTTTATTAACATAGTTGAAGTATTCCATTCCAAATCCTCATGGAAGATGTTGAAAGCTCAAGGCTATTCTCCTCAACTGCTTCAGATTTTCCTCAAAACGATACTGGTAACAGAATTTAAATCTCAGTCTGGACTGACTACAAGATAACTCTGTTGAAGATGGTAACTTTCTTCAGCATAATTAATCAACTACTGGGCTCACAGAATATCCCCAAAATGCAAACTGTCAATTTAAAAAAAAGTTTATATTCTTTTAAATTTTTATTTTTTTTTATGCTGGGAATTTTCTGTAAGTTCATAAATGGCAACTGTGTAAGACATATTTTTTAAGATTTTAGATTTATCCACAAACCTACTGTAAATACTGCAAGACATACACAGTTTTCAAGGATACTATGCTTCAGGAGTGCACAGCCAAGGCCAATAACCACAGTTAGAAATGGGAAAACCGGAGTCCTATAAAGAAGACAGAACATACTCACTTCTACCTTCTTGCGTTTCTTGCTGTGTCCTGCTTATGAAAGGAAGTAACTGTGCACCTTGATAGAGTAAATTAGTAATTAGCCATGCAGTAAACCTTTATTTTTAGTGCATTCACTTAAGTTCACCAGTGCTCCGACTGTGAGTAATGCTTTCCTTCAGGGCACATACAGAGACAGGTTTGTCTGTCAGCTCACAGTTATAAATACCATTGTGATATTCTTGCAAGAGCACTTACCTACAAATGTATTTCAGCAGATTATAATTGACAGCTGGCAGGCTCTTCACTTGCTTCACCAGTTCTTTCAGGCCCTTTAAGTGGTTTAAGGAAAAAAAAAAAAAAAAGGAGTGGGGAGGCACAGTTGCTTAGTATTTTGTCAAAGATTCAAAAAAATGTCAGCAATTCCAATTACAAGACAATAAACACTTCACTGAAACTACAGTTCAGCATCAGGAGCAGCTTGTAGAACCCGTTTTGGATGGGGAAATCTATATTATATGTCTAACAAGGATTAGCTCTGCATAAAAATAAACAAGTAAATAAATAACTGGGTTTCATCCTGTCTCTCCCTTCTCTTTCCTTCTTTCTTTTTTTGACTCGCAGCTCTGTTCCTCCTCCTGCTGATAACAGGGCTGAGGCTTCCAGGAACAGTTCTGGTTTGAACTAGTTGGCATTTTCATACGACAGACTATTTGGGTATTTTACCCAGTTCTGGTCCATACTAGATGCAGATCGTAAACAGTTCTTTCAGTTTGTGTCCACCCTAGGAATGGAACAAGCAGAATATCCCACACTAATTTCTGTGTCCTGTGGAAACAGACCCTGGCTACGCTCCTCACCAACCACTGCCTTTAGACTTGTTTTCAGTATGGGGTTTTGGTACTTTGCCAGTATCAGTGGGGTTTTGATTACAATAAGTTATGAAAATGGAAATCAAGATGGGTGGACCATCATTGTTCACAAGTTTGCTGGATGTGGGCTAAGAAAGGGAACAAGTTGCACAGCTCCATTAACAGTGACTGCACTTTTAACTTCTGCATGGAGAAAGATAAACTGAAAGTCTAGCTGGACAGCCTTATAGCTGGACTTCTAAGCCACCATAAAGAGGGCTGAAGTGGCTCATCACCTACAGTAAAGATTTTTCACAAACTGCCAGCACCAACAGGCCACTGTAATTTGAATCTTGCTTTCAAAACTCATTTGATAAAGCGCTTCATGGCATAGTTGCAAAGGAACTACATTAATGCATAGTTGCAAAGGAACTACATTAATACATTCGAGACTAAGCCAATATAAAATGACTAAAAATTGAATCTGAAAATGAGTATAAACTGCAAGTATAAACCGCACGATGACTAACTGTGGAGCTGTCGGATGGCTTTACGTTGGAGCTCTCAATGGTTAGAGACATATGCAACATGCACAAGCAAACAGCTGCAACTTTAGCTCTGAGGATCCCCTGCCATAAATTGTGCAAGAGCAGCTCAAATTAAACCAGCTGAACAGCCCACTCCCACCTTTTGCAAGCAGCTAACAAAAATTTGCACCTTGTAGCAAGCTGTAAAGGACAGCAAAGAAACCAGTCTTATTTCACTGGGTCTAAGAGATTATAGAAGGCAGATTGCCACAGATCTTTCTTCCCCCTGCATTCCATCGGATGGGAACAACTACCACCTCTGCTGTTGGTGGTCATCAACAGAAGGCTCAGAAAGGAGATAGTCTCTCAGAAAAGAGGGCATGTTTCTTGGTTAAAAAAACATGAGTAGGAACTCAATTAATGAGAAGATTAAGTAGGAGTGATTCCGGTTCTAGCAGGATTTGAAATGTCAAAAAGAAAATTAAACAGAAATAACAACCTTAGAAAGTTGGGGGAGTAGACTGAAATCAACAGAATGACCCTATTTCTATTTACTTTGAAAAGAAAATATGAGGGTTGACATTATTGCCCATAAGCAGAACAATGCAAAAACAAGCACTCAAGTTTCTTATGTCTTCAGACTAATATATAGTAGGCTCATGCCACTGCAGGGCACATTGTCAGTCAGAACCCTTACTTTGCTCATCTGTGCTACGCTGTTTTAAAAGAGTCTGGAAGGTGGCCTGCTTCTGTCTTTTTGAGGCCTTCTGATTCAATGATAGGCAATGAATACAGTCAGTTGGCCTTCAGTCAAAAGTCAGCAAAAGTTGCCATCCTCACGCTTAGAAAAAATGACCCCTGATTTAATGGCAAGAGTTGGACAGCAGCAACTAAGACTTTTCCTTTTACAGTTCAGAATGATAATCCTCGAAAATGTAGAGTCTCTTCCATGCAAAATGGAAGCTACTGACCTCAATGATGTTTACTTGAACTGGATTCAGTGACACTCAATAAATACAACTAAGGTTATGCTACGCGCCTTTATTTAGACTTCCAAATGATCTAGGTGGCAACAATTTTCATGTAAGAACACCCTCAATTTCTAGATGCACATCTTAAACTAGAATAGGTAATCACCAGCTTCTCTCCTCTTCAAAATCGGAACAGGCTATAACATACCAGCCTTTTATTCCATCTTACTCAAGTTTCCAACTCACCGTTTCTTCCTCCTTGCTGAGCATTTTGGCACAGGAAAGAAAATCTTCGTATTTTGCATATGGTATGACTGGTTCTGGGAGTTCCCTTAGGTACAGCTTAAGCAGTGATGCCACTGTGTGCACATCTGTATTGCTGTTGGGTTGGAATACAAGAAGTCATTACTGTGAATCAGGACAATACTGTGTGATTGACAGGCTAAAAACTGCCACTTCACTTTTCCATTGTTATCCCAGATTTTACTCTTCAGCAGTATATATAGAGAGATATATAGAGATGTAATATATATAGAGATTGTACCTATAATCTGGATTTTGTTTAGGTTTTTTTCTGTCCTATAATGAACTTAGCATACCTGCAAGCAAGAGCCTGTCAGCTCTGCTGATTTATTACCATAAATAATTACACATAAGGCCCTATTTTCAGGGACAGGTACTGAGAAGATCCCAACAGGCATCTAACTGATTTTCTAACAGGCATCGAACACCAGGCATGCAAAATCCATCTTAACTGGTGCTTTTCATTTTCACCTGAGCCAGAGACCAGGCATTATCTTTACATAGTGGAGATTATTTTCCTACCAGAGATGGCCCCAGATCCCAATACATACCCAGCATGTCTCAAATCCATTGTATCACCATATCCTCTGGTGTCAGTATTAAGTATGCAAGTTTTAAAGGAGACCACATAGACCACAGTTGATTAGCTGAAACTTCTCCATCTGAACTACAGTTCTTTCTGTGCCATGCATCTTTTTCCCATGGGCTCCCACAAAATGACTACTGTGCCTTTTAGCTGTACTGTTACGCTGGAAACCTGGATATACCTTATGCATGGAACCGTAAATCCATGGGAGATGAATTTTAGCTCTCTCCTGTCTGAGTAAGCTAACTCATGGCAAGTCATCAAACTTAGAAAATGCCTAAGTGCTAGCACAATAGGTAACATTATAGGGCTGACAGTCAAAGACCTGGTATAACACATGCTTTCTCATAATTACATTTGCAGAAACTTAAGGGTTTTTCTGGATACAGCTAGTAGGAGTCTAGGCTGTTTATCAATTGTACTGAAAGTACGAAGATGGGGAGAAAGATCAAAATTGCAAGTTCAGAGTATGCAATAAAACTTGCTTAACTGTTTCTGTGGTGTGTAAAGTTACATTCTGGTAATTTAGGAGTACTTCTCTGAAATGAAATAAATAAAAACAGATAAAAACTGCAAGTTAGCACAAAGAAATCTCTCTTGTGTTACTTCTGGCTCCACCTGTGGTTTAGCTACTCAGGCGTTTATTCAAACCTCTACTGGAATATTCTACATGCTTTCCCTGGTTCAGATAAAAAGTTGCACTGCAAGCTGATACCTCTCCCTCTGAGTTCTGAGAAAGCAAAAAAATATATACTACATTATGCTGATTTCACTCCTAAGAAACAGAAAATGCGCAGACATTTCTACAATGTGCATTATTGTGTATTTTCTTTTTCTTTGGACACTTCCCTTGGAACATTTTTTGAACTCGCCCTCTCCCAAAGGGAACCACTGGTATTTGATGCATTTAAACTTTGCTAGAAGTATGTTAATTATTATTTTGGAATGATCTGTTAAAACAATAATGGCTTTTACTAAGTTAAATCTTAACAAGAATGATGGGAACAACCTTTGATTAATGTATGAGCAATCTAAGTCAAATCAGGAGAGAAGTGATAAAGCACTGTATATATTTAAATGTTAACCCTCACCACCCTCCTCAAAATAAATTCCCAGAAAACATTTCTATTTCAATCATTAATAATTCCCAGCCAAAATTGCAAAAAATGTTTTCTAGAGAAACTCTATAAACAAAGCAGGAACAGAAATCCGCATTTTTAAGGAAGGTTCCAATTCTAGTCCCTTGATTGCGACCCTCTGCTTGTACACTGGCTTGCATCCAAAACAGGAACCCTGTGTTTACCCTGTCCCACTCCTTGGATGCATATATAACATGTGTGAGGAACAGTACTAGACATGAAACTAGATAGAGTTGTACTGTTTTATGAGATTTCAAATGCTGGCTCAGATTTGACCTCTAACCTTTGTCTTCTACCTGTTGCCAGCCCAGATGCAAACTGAGTGAACTGAAGCTCTTCTTGACATCCCGGCTAACAAAACTCTTTACAGCCTGCAGAACCCAAGGGCTTGAAACCCAGACCCCAGTAATCTCTCAGGTAGTTGCTTACATGTATAGCTGCCACCGGTGCTAGTTTTTAGAGCACAACCATGCTGTGCATGCCCAGGCAGTTGCCACTATTCAGCTTTATCCAGGAAGCAAATTCTACAGAGATCTTCAGTTTCATAAATTGTCGGTCCATCAGGAAAGCAAAAAGCAGATACAGAGGGAAAGAATTCTGCCAGTCATATTCTGAAGGAGAGCAGCAGCCAGAGGGAGCAGATGTGAACTGGCAGCCTTAGGACAGTGCCCTGCATTGCAGCATGAAAGGGAGCACAGGGCATCAATCTGCAGAGGATTTAACTCCGGTTGGTCGGCATTGATCATATTTCTGAAGGCTTTATGATTACTATTTTTATTATTTAAACAAAGAAACTCCCCAGGCCTAGCTGAAGAACTGAACCACATCTTTCCAGAGACTATTTGCATAACACTAGAGAGGCCTTCCCAAAGTACAAGATTAAAACAGGTTGAGTGAGGGAAGTTACCAAAAAGCAACTAAAAGCACGCAGGCGTCCCTGTGAGGGTGTTGAGCAACATCATCTTTCATTCTTTGTGCTGCCAGGATCATGCTTTGTGTAGTACACAAAAATGATTTTACACCAGTCCCTTAGTGTCAAGTGGAATACTTACTCCTTGAGGGCACAGCAGATGGAGGATAAAAAGGCTGAAGAAGGGGACAAAAGCCTTGAAAACTGATGTCATTTATATACTTTCTCCTTTCAATGTGAAGCACTGATAGACTATCCCTGCAAAGGCTTAGTTGAATGCTAAAAACTGTTGCTCTACCAAGGAAGAACTAAGAGAGAAATGGGAAGGCAGGATGCTGAGGAGCAAGGAAACAGTAAGAAGTCTTATGTTCTCAAACTAACCTCTTGAAGTACATGATGTATATGAGGCTACAGAAAGGTGCTTTCTGAGCTGGGGTTAGAAACCCAGGTTGCAATTAGTAGATGGGGACACATTCACGATTTTTAAAACTAATTTTTGAAGTTTTTTTCATTTGCTTCTGCTCATCGAATGCTAAGGCAATACTGCAGACTGCCACAAGATGGTGGGATTGCAAAATAAAATTTTGGAAAATTTGTTTTGTTCCCTTTTTTTTTTTTTTTTTTTTTTCTCCCTACACTGTGCTGAAACACTGTTTAGGACTTAATGTATTTGTACTGTAATTACCATACAGATTTTGGCAGCATAAACAAACATACATACACACACACACACATATCCTGCCTGCAAAACTCTTTAAGAATTGGATTTTAAAATTTTATTTAGCAACAGTTAGACAAAAGCTAGAAGCTTTCTTCTTTCAATGTAAATGTTGGTATAAAAATGTGTCAATATTTTTATAATAATGTGACTAAAAGTGTTTCATATAATCTGAGACCTGTTTAGACCTTGTAGTCTAGTATCATTTTTTCACCTTTTGTTTTAAAATACAGAGGAGAACTTAAAAACCGCAGACTAGTTTTAATCCATCTGTATGTGAGGTGTTTCAATCCACAAATACCACTAAGTGCATTTCAGCCACAGAGGACAGCTGTGAGTTTCAAAGGAGTGATGAAATATAAGGTCTCTTGAGGATTGGGAGCATTTATTTCCCTTACTGGTCTGCGGTGTTCTATCCAAAGTCTGAGTTAACCAACAGCATATATATATATATATATATGTATCTGCCTAGTTTGTAAGACATGGATCTTTCCAGGGCCTATAGAGGACCTTTTCCAGCTACAACTGATGAGTTTAAGACAAGGCAGTATTTCTCCCTTCAAACCTGGCCTTGCTTATATTCTAGGACCATTACAGCTACAGAAACTTAATGACTATACCTATCTTGATATTTCTTCTGCTATCTGACAGTGTAATATCAAAGTGTTCCATGGTTACACATTCATAATTAACATGGCTAAAAGTATTCATTAACAAGTACTAAAATAGGGTATGTCAATTCCAGCAGAAAAATCCTGTGTTATGGAATTGGAACAACCCTCATTAATTGAGGCAGACTTTCTCCAAGTGCACAATGAATAATTACAAGCTTGAAATGGGAATGACAAAGCACAAAGCAGAAAATTCAATGCAACACAAAAAGCATCAGCAAGCTGAGAAACAGTCTATTTCGGCACGTTCTGCTGGAAAGTCTGAGTAAGATTACTTGCCTCACTAAAACAGTAACGCTGCTTTCCTGTTGATATGTTTCCAAAGGAGCATCCCCCGCTCCACCACTGCCCATGCAGAGGCATTACAAATGCAAATGCACCACAGCCTCTCCTTAGTCATCAGACTACACATATTCAAAGCCCCATTCATCTGAACTTTGTCATTAATATCCATCATGGCATTGCTGTTTTGACAGCACTTTCCTTTGTGATACCACAGACGCTGTGGAAGTGGCTGTCAGACCGATTACACCGCCTGGAGTTTTTCACCCTCTCTACCATAAACAGAAATCACTGGAGCCCAGCAGGCCGCCAGAAATCCACGCATAACCCTCACACTCGGACGAGCAGACAGCGTGTTCAGAGAGCTGGAGTCAGCGCTTCAGAGCACAAAGCCAACAAGCTCCTCATAAACTCTCAGAGAGGAAATATTAACAGGGCAAGGTCACATTACAGAAAGATTAATGCTGTGCCAAAAATAGCTCTAGATCACGATGACACATAAACAGTTTGCCATAAAGAACAAACAGTAGGGAACAACAAGCTGTGAGGCTATAATTCAATTCAGGAGTTCTGGTAATAAAACAAAGGAGAACGGCACAGTTCAAACAGTTTGTGTATCAGTACCTCACAGAATTACTGGAATTACAGCTCCATCATTTCAGATGTGTCACAGATCACAATCCTGGAAACAGACAGTCTCCCTTCACCAACAAACACGTCCTGTACCCACCAGAACGTTTGTTGACTGTGTCCCTGCTTAGCTGCATTCA